GAGGAAGATATTTGGGACTATTGGGCTGCATTACAATTCTACACACTTCTCCCAAAGTGGTCACTTGCACACTCCCTCTCATGGATTTAAAAGCATTGGATTGGGAAGAGCATTGGCTGGAGAGGGTTTCCATCACTGTTAAATCCATGACTCGGAGTGTGTAAGTGCACACTTTGGGAGAAGGGTGAAGAATCTGAACCCAGCCATGGACCACAGGCAGAAGGACCTGATGAAGAGAGACCACATATAAAAGGACAGTGTTGCAACACTTCAAATAGTTTCATAATCTTTACTTTGAACAGATCACTTGTAGGGTGAATTCAGAAAAATTAGGACACTTTTTGCATTTCTGTCTTCTGTAACCTCTTTCAACATACACTATACAGTGGGGGAAAAAAGTATTTAGTCAGCCACCAATTGTGCAAGTTCTCCCACTTAAAAAGATGAGAGAGGCCTGTAATTTTCATCATAGGTACACGTCAACTATGACAGACAAAATGAGAAAATATTTTCCAGAAAATCACATTGTAGGATTTTTAATGAATTTATTTTCAAATTATGGTGGAAAATAAGTATTTGGTCAATAACAAAAGTTTCTCAATACTTTGTTATATACCCTTTGTTGGCAATGACACAGATCAAACGTTTTCTGTAAGTCTTCACAAGGTTTTCACACACTGTTGCTGGTATTTTGGCCCATTCCTCCATGCAGATCTCCTCTAGAGCAGTGATGTTTTGGGGCTGTCGCTGGGCAACACAGACTTCCAACTCCCTCCAAAGATTTTCTATGGGGTTGAGATCTGGAGACTGGCTAGGCCACTCCAGGACCTTGAAATGCTTCTTACGAAGCCACTCCTTCGTTGCCCAGGCGGTGTGTTTGGGATCATTGTCATGCTGAAAGACCCAGCCACGTTTCATCTTCAATGCCCTTGCTGATGGAAGGAGGTTTTCACTCAAAATCTCACGATACATGGCCCCATTCATTCTTTCCTTTACACGGATCAGTCGTCCTGGTCCCTTTGCAGAAAAACAGCCCCAAAGCATGATGTTTCCACCCCCATGCTTCACAGTAGGTATGGTGTTCTTTGGATGAAACTCAGCATTCTTTGTCCTCCAAACACGACGAGTTGAGTTTTTACCAAAAAGTTCTATTTTGGTTTCATCTGACCATATGACATTCTCCCAATCCTCTTCTGGATCAACCAAATGCACTCTAGCAAACTTCAGACGGGCCTGGACATGTACTGGCTTAAGCAGGGGGACACGTCTGGCACTGCAGGATTTGAGTCCCTGGCGGCATAGTGTGTTACTGATGGTAGGCTTTGTTACTTTGGTCCCAGCTCTCTGCAGGTCATTCACCAGGTCCCCCCGTGTGGTTCTGGGATTTTTGCTCACCGTTCTTGTGATCATTTTGACCCCACAGGGTGAGATCTTGCGTGGAGCCCCAGATCGAGGGAGATTATCAGTGGTCTTGTATGTCTTCCATTTTCTAATAATTGCTCCCACAGTTGATTTCTTCAAACCAAGCTGCTTACCTATTGCAGATTCAGTCTTCCCAGCCTGGTGCAGGTCTACAATTTTGTTTCTGGTGTCCTTTGACAGCTCTTTGGTCTTGGCCATAGTGGAGTTTGGAGTGTGACTGTTTGAGGTTGTGGACAGGTGTCTTTTATACTGATAACAAGTTCAAACAGGTGCCATTAATACAGGTAACGAGTGGAGGACAGAGGAGCCTCTTAAAGAAGAAGTTACAGGTCTGTGAGAGCCAGAAATCTTGCTTGTTTGTAGGTGACCAAATACTTATTTTCCACCATAATTTGCAAATAAATTCATTAAAAATCCTACAATGTGATTTTCTGGATTTTTTTTCCCTCAATTTGTCTGTCATAGTTGACGTGTACCTATGATGAAAATTACAGGCCTCTCTCATCTTTTTAAGTGGGAGAACTTGCACAATTGGTGGCTGACTAAATACTTTTTTCCCCCACTGTATATACACAAAAGTATGTGGACACCCCTTCAAATTAGTGGATTCGGCTATTTCAGCTACACCCGTTGCTGACCGGTGTATAAAATCGATGCAATCTCCATTGACAAACATTGGCAGCAGAATGGACTTACTGAAGAGCGTCATAGGATGCCACCTTTCCAGCAAGTCAGTTTGTCAATTTCTGCCCTGCTAGAGCTGCCCCGGTCAACTGTAAGTACTGTTATTGTGAAGTGGAAACGTCTAGGAGCAACAACGACTCAGCCGCGAAGTGGTAAGCCACACAGGCTCACAGAACAGGACTGCCGAGTGCTGAAGCACGTAGCGCGTAAAAATCGTCTGTCCTTACATTTCAGTCATTTAGCAGACGCTCTTATCCAGAGCGACTTACAGTTAGTGAATACATATTTATTTATTTATTTATTTATACTGGCCCCCGTGGGAATCAAACCCACAACCCTGGCGTTGCAAACGCCATGCTCTATCAACTGAGCTACATCCCTGCCGGCCATTCCCTCCCCTACCCTGGATGACGCTGGGCCAATTGTGCGCCGCTCATGAGTCTCCAGGTCGCGGCCGGCTGCAACAGAGCCTGGATTCGAACCAGGATCTCTAGTGGCACAGTTAGCACTGCAAAGCAGTGCCTTAGACCACTGCGCCACTCACTACCGAGTTCCAAACTGCCTCTGGAAGCAATGTCAGCACAATAACTGTTTGTCGGGAGCTTCATGAAATGGGTTTCCATGGCCGAGCAGCCGCACACAAGCCTAAGATCACCATGCGCAATGCCAAGCGTCGGCTGGTGTGGTGTAAAGCTCGCCGCAATTGGACTCTGGAGCAGTGGAAACGCGTTCTCTGGAGTGATGAATCATGCTTCACCATCTGGCAGTCCGACAGACAAATCTGGGTTTGGCTGATGCCAGGAGAATGCTACCTGCTCCAATGCATAGTGCCAACTGTAAAGTTTGGTGGAGGAGGAATAATGATCTGGAGCTGGGAAATGGAGCGGTGCACAAGCTCCAGTGCTTAATGTCCTTTCCAACCGCTCCGCTAAAAACCGCTCAGCGCTCACAGGGGAAAAAAAACTGTTGCTCCAAATTTTCTCCATTCATTAAAATCACAATTTAACCAACGCCCATCTATTTTTGTGACTACCTGGACCTACCCATTTGGATTTGAAGTATTGAAACCAAACCATATGGATTTGAATGAAAAGTATTTGAATGAACATGAAAAGGTGAATGTAAGAAGCATACATCATTTCAAAGGTCTCCCGAGTGGCGCAGTGGTCTAAGGCACTGCATCAGAATCCAGACTCTGTCGTAGCCGGCCGCGACCGGGAGACCCATGGGACGGCGCGCAATTGGCCCAGCGTCGTCCAGGGTAGGGGAGGGAATGGCTGGCAGGGATGTAGCTCAGTTGGTAGAGCATGGCGTTTGCAACGCCAGGGTTGTGGGTTCGCTTCCCACGGGGGGCCAGTATGAAAAAATAAATAATGTATGCACTCAGTAACTGTAAGTCGCTCTGGATAAGAGCGTCTGCTAAATTACGTAAATAGGCTACATGTCATATTAAACATAATATAAACACTCTAAATAGGTCAGGAGCCTAAGGGACAAAAATGAATTATTTAGGCTATATTATTTCAATTATTTCAAGGCTATAGCCTACAAAGAAATACATTGTGAAGCATTTGCGAGTGTGACACAATAGGCTGGTAGGTACATAAAGCGCTCAGCATTTAAACAACATTTTGTTGTATTAAATCATTATAATCTATACATTGTGCATATAGGCTGTGATTTACTTAGAATTAAATAAAAATTAAACGAAAAATGACTTATTAGTGCCTTTGGATTCATTTTAAGAATTCATTTTTAGAAACACGTTTGGCCAGTCTGTGGCTTCAGGCTCATGCGATGGTGCCTCGAGAGCAGGCCAGCAGTGGAGAATATCCTCTCCACACTTGCAGAGCCACTGGGGATGCTAAACACCCTTTTGGCCACCCTTGCCAGGCTGGGCAGAGACGCAGAGTATATATTTTTTATATATAGGTAGGCCTAAAGGTTTTTAGGCAAAATAACCCAATCAAAACGGAAAGCTCCTTGAACATGGGAATATGCCAGGCCTATTGAGCCAAAATAAATTATGGCCTATTGTATAGAATATAGAACAAAAATGAATTAAACGTTTAAGAGATCTGATTTTTTGTTAATAAATACTTTGCTACAATGACACACTTCGTTATCTACCCACCTCGTTCCTTTCTTTTAGCATGTGCACATAGTAAGTACACCATCACGCTTTCGAGATACGTGTCTTTTTAGATTCCACAATGATTATTTAGTTGTGGACACTACATCACCTCACTCATTCTCTTGGTCCTCATTTTTGTAAGTCACCTTGATTTGGCACCTGTGTGTTTTATCAGTTTCTTTATGAAAATATTTAGCGAACTCCATGACAGTAGCTAAAGCAGCACACAAGTAGACACCAATGTTGAACTGCATTGTTGGTTATGGGCTTGTAAGTAACCATTTCACGGTAAGGTCTACACTTGTTGTATTCGGTACATGACAAATACAATTTGATTTGAAATGCATGCTGGGCCGGGCATGCCCGGTGCTCGTGAAGTGAGCAATACTGGAGCGAAATTGGAATGGGCGAGAACGCCTACGCTCCAGCCTTTGGGAATCTCGCGCCACGCTCCAGTCAAATTGGGTACGCTCTGCTCACATACTCTGAATAGAACACGACACGTTACGTTATACGTCTGTCTTCTATATATAATATCGCAATGCAAAGCCATGTGGAGAGAGGACGCTCTTGCTATTGGACACTTGAATGGTGTAGTTCATCACCATTGGTTAAAGTGTTTCCATCCTATTCGTCCAATCATAGGGACACTCGAGGTATATTAGTACAATAATCCTCCGCTGCATTACGTAAAGGCAGAAAGGAAAGTCGCTGTATAGCACTGTTAATTATTCTATTGTCACTTATCAATCCAAATACCATGTCTGGTAGAGGCAAAACTGGAGGAAAGGCCAGAGCGAAGGCAAAGTCCCGTTCATCCCGCGCTGGCCTTCAGTTCCCCGTAGGACGTGTCCACAGGTTACTGCGCAAAGGCAACTATGCGGAGCGTGTTGGTGCCGGAGCTCCTGTGTATTTGGCTGCTGTGCTGGAATATCTAACGGCTGAGATCCTCGAGTTGGCTGGCAACGCTGCAAGGGATAATAAGAAGACCAGGATCATCCCCCGCCACCTTCAGCTGGCTGTCCGCAACGACGAGGAACTCAACAAGCTTTTAGGTGGTGTCACCATCGCGCAAGGAGGAGTATTGCCTAACATTCAGGCGGTCCTCCTACCCAAGAAGACTGAAAAACCAGCAAAGAGCAAGTAACCAGCTACAGATCACAACAAAATCTGAGCTCCGTTAAGTGCCATCCACTTCTGTATAAAGAGCCTCCTTTTCAAATTTCAATTCCAGCGCATCCCGATAATGGATGCTTGCAGACGGACAATGCTTCATGTTATTGGTTTCCACGATGCGCAGGCACCGTCATTGGACAATTCATATAAATGTATGGACATTTTCGTAGAACATATACCAAATTTGCCACTGTCTTTTGGGTCTGGGCTATAAATGGTGGCGCATTTGAGGGTGGGGTGAATAACGCAATAGCGATTTCATTGTATGTTTTTATTTAGTAGTGCTGTATCAACACATTTTGTGCTAAACACAGTGATGTCATGAGGTCAGTCAAATGTCTATTTGACTGAAATTGTTTATTTCAATAAATGTTCTGTACTGATACAGGGCACGCGCACAAACGTCATCACCAGTCTGTTCTGTTTTCACAATCCGGGTACTTTCCATCAGGCAGCGCATGAACAAAGGACACAGCGCATCGAAATTAATCTATAAATGGTTCTTTGAAGATCTGTGGGCATTTATGCATGTGTTATAGATGTAATATATTCATACAACGCATAATACTGTACATGGAACAAAGCAGCCCAAATTATTTTTATACAGCAGCCTATTCCTAGTTTATTTATTCCCATTGAACCTGTCACATGAAGATACATTAAAAAGGCCAATTCAACTGAATCAGAACCACAAACAACCATATGCAAATACACAAAATATTTAAATTGGTTAATTATGTTTGTGCATCTCAGAAAAAAAATGACATACTTTTCTAATCAAATGATAAACATTGATTGCTTCCTTTTAAATAAGTGCTCACTTTTCAACCATTTTGTGTTCAAATATCAAAACTGCAAGACATCTGGACCACATATCCTTGTGAACTTCAGTGAGGGCAAATGTCTCAAATTAATTTCCATAGAAAGCGTTGTTTTTGTAAGATCATCCCATCTGCTGCAGATGTCCTTACTCCTGATAGCCCTCTGTCTTCATGTCATTCAGACCAAGGTCTTCGTTCTGCTCAAAGGTCCTGGTGTACTTCTCAGTTGTCATCTCTGGGTCTGGGTCAGGGGCATAGACATTCTGCAGACAAACATGATACAAATACATTCCAATTCACTACATTCAGACAGTATGTTAATGAACAAGGGCGGGAAATGTAAATGTGATTCATGAAACTGACAAATTAATCCACTGAGAGGAGACTACGTGTTTGAACCTTAAAGGGATACCATATCTGTTTCTAACTAGTGTTGGCGTAATGACTGGTATTTACACTAACACTAGTTAGCATTGGCTCGCGAAACTACCTCTTCATTCCTTCATACTGAACGCAGATACAAAATCCCAAACTATCCCTTTAAAGATCTGAGAAAGAGAAGTGTTCTCATACCTGGAGATAGCTGTTCCCTGCAGGGTCATCGAGAACAATGTGAACGTCCATGTCTCCCGCCATGATCTATAGTATTTTTCAAAAGAAGAGGCGTTTTAAAGTCCGACTCCAGCCTCCATTGAACTTTTAAATACAACAGTTTCAGCATGGGTGCCAGACTGTTCTCCATTCAACACTACTACTTTGTTGCCTAGCCAAACATCTTCTCAGATACAGCATATGCACCCTAATAAGCAGTTCACTCAAGTTTGATCAATCAAATGTGAAATTCTTGCTTGAGCTTTTCTGAAGTCTAAATAACATTTCTGCAGGGCGGGTAGCCTAGCGGTTAAGAGCGCTGGTCCAGTAACCAAAAGATCACTGGTTCGAATCCCCGAGCTGACTAGGTGAAAAATCTGTTGATGTGCCCTTGAGCAAGGCACTTAACCCTAATTGCTCCTGTAAGTCGCTCTGGAGAAGTGTCTGCTAAATGACTCAAATGTACAAAAACGTCATACTAACAGTTGTTTGATGATTGAGGGCCAGTATACACTTACTGTATAAAATAGCTGAATAAATGCCTCCTAGTTAAACTATAAAACTAGGGTACCAATACATTAAATGTCCGAAAAGCTCTATATTTACATGGTAGTTACAATGCATTTACAGTGTAGTTACACATTGTTAGTATTTACAACTGTTATACCAGTTGGTCACGTTCAGTTTCAAAGAATTGCAATAAACTCAAAATGGAGATAATGTATCGAATGGATCTTAAACAACAATTCTAGAGTGAGACAATAAGTTAGTCTGAGTAAGTTCCAAAAATCAAATGCAAATAAATGTAAAAACATGTGTAATTCCACACATCACTAACAGTTGTAAGTACTTTGGGATGTGTAATTACACTTAGGTTATAGATGTAAAGTGGGACCAAAACTAGTTCCAAACAAAACATTAGTGATAGGCTTATTCAATAATTTTATGCCTCTAACCTTGTCAATCTTCTGGCCAAAAAGCTTCAGTTTCTCTGTTCGATCTGAAGTGGAGCTGTCTCCACAAGTGAATGGATTTTTGGAAACAATCTGGAGGAAAACAAAGTGGTGGAGGAAAAACATGAATTCAAAATAGCAGAATGAAAGAGACCATAGACCAGGGATGCACACCTCAAATCCTTGAGGACGGCAGTCCTGCTGGTTTTGGTTTCTACCTAGAATTTAACTAATCAATTAATGTAAATGATTGGCCACATCTGGCTTCACAGGTCTAAATCAGTCACTAATTAAAGAGGTGAAAATGAAATCAGCAGAAACAGCATCCCTCAAGGACTGGAGTTGTGCATCGCTGCCTTGGAATTACAGCACATCAGCCCAGGTGCAGAGCCAGTGGAACACAACCGGCGTTAAAAAATATACAACTCTCCACTGGAGACTGGAGTTCAATCCCTGTGTGCACCCTTCATAATATGTCTCCCCTTCATCCATTTCCCCCTCTCCTTCTCAACCGACTGAATAAAGCATTAAAAGGGTTTACCAGATCTTTGATGTCTTTGAGGAGTCCCTCCAAGGTGGTGAATTTGCCGCCGACAGCTGCCATCCCCAACTCAAATTCCAGCTCAGGTATGAGGATGCTACATGTCTCCGACTGCACAAACAACCACAACATATAATATATAATAATATAATATGCCATTTAGCAGACGCTTTTATCCAAAGCGACTTAGTCATGCATGCATACATTTTTGTGTATTGTTGAATCAACTCCATCATGATTCAGGAATAGGAATGCTCTCCTGTGAAAAAGTTCCATGTTCCTCTTTGTATGCTTTATTCGAGGCCCACAATGGAAACAAGTCCTTTGATTTGGCCCGAGGGTGATTTTATTTGGCCCCCCAAGTTGTTTTATTTTTTATTGTTGGAAATAAAAGACTGGAAAAACACCAGCAAATTAGCTCCAAGTGATTTTAATTTTGGAAATCTGTTCCAAAGTATTCCCACGCATAATAGAGAGATACTGTATATGTGATCGTATACAAATGATTATGTTTTAGTCAAATATATTGGTTTGGGTTTCTTGCGGTACATTTTTAGTCTACAAATTATTTGTAATTATGTTCCGTCCCCCTGACCATCCGCTCAATATTTTTTTTTAGCCCGCGGCTGAATCTAGTTGATGATCCCTGGTGTATGTATTGTTTGGCTTGACAATGGCAGTAATTGAGTTGGAAAAAGCACAAACAGCCCTGGGACCAGGCTAATGCAATGCTACAGTAAAACTAGTGAATGCCAGATAAAAGACAGGCAGTACAATGGAGGGGGCTACCTTGAGAAGATCTCTGGACATGTCAGACAAGTCAGTGAGGTGAAGGGTTATCTTCGTGCCCAGCTCTTCTGTGGCGCCACCAGATTTCACCTTAACCACAGAGTAGATAGTCATGCAATCATATTAGGATATTTGCAATCTATGAATATGCCTTGAAAATAAAATGTGCCTGACAATGAATTAATGATAAAAAAAGAGGAAACTTACTTCGTTGGTTCGATGTCCACAGTCATCACAGTTTGTTGCCATGATAATGACTTCTTTGAAATGGGGGATTTCTGAGGAATTGTAAAGGAGGATACCTGCACCTTGCAAATTGAAACATTATACACCACCTTTATCATAGGACACTACTGGGGACAGTGGTGTAAAAATACTTGAAGGTACTAAAGTAGTTTTTTTGGGTATCTGTACTTTACCATTTATATTTTTGAAAACTTCTCCTTCACTACATTCCTAAAGAGAATAATGTACTTTTTACTCCATACATTTTCCCTGACACCCAAAAGTACTCGTTACATGTTGAGTGCTTAGCAGGACAGGAAAATGGTCCAATTCACGCACTTATCAAGAGAACACGTGGCCATCCCTACTGCCTCTGATCTGGCAGACTCACTAAACACAAATGCATCGTTTGTAAATGATGTCTGAGTGTTGGAGTGTACCCCTGGCTATCCGTACATTTTAAAAACAAGAAAATGGTGCCATCTGCTTTGCTTAATATAAGGAATTTTAAATGACATACTTTTAATTTTGGTACTTAAGTATATTTAAAACCAAATATTTTTAGACTTTTATTCAAGTAGTATTTTACTGGGTGACTTTCACTTGAGTAACTTTCTATTAAAAAGGTATCTATATGTTTACTCAAATATGACAATTGCATACTTTTTCCACCACTGACTGGGGACCAGTGAAGTAGTGGTAAAAATATACACTACCGTTCAAACGTTTGGGGTCACTTAGAAATGTCCTTGTTTTTGAAAGAAAAGCATTTTTTTTTTGTCCATTAAAATATCAAATTGATCGGAAATACAGTGTAGACATAGTTAATGTTGTAAATGGCTATTGTAGCTGGAAACGGCTGATTTGTAATGGAATATCTACATAGGCGTACAGAGGCCCATTATCAGCAACCATCAGTCCTGTGTTCCAATGGCACGTTGTGTTTGCTAATCCAAGTTTATCATTTTAAAAGGCTAATTGATCATTAGAAAACCCTTTTGCAATTATGTTAGCACAGCTGAAAACTGCTGTGCTGATTAAAGAAGCAATAAAACTGGCTTTTTGAGACTAGTTGAGCATCTGGAGCATCAGCAATTGTGGGTTTGATTACAGGATCAAAATGGACAGAAACAAATAACTTTCTTCTGAAACTCGTCAATCTATTCTTGTTCTGAGAAATGAAGGCTATTCCATGCGAGAAATTGCCAAGAAACTGAAGATCTCGTACAACGCTGTGTACTACTCCCTTCACAGAACAGCGGAAACTGGCTCTAACCAGAATAGAAAGAGGAGTGTGAGGCCCCGATGCACAACTGAGCAAGAGGACAAATACATTAGTGTCTAGTTTGAGAAACAGACGCCTCACAGGTCCTCAACTGGCAGCTTCATTAAATAGTACCCGCAAAACACCAGTCTCAACGTCAACAGTGAAGAGGCGACTCCGGGATGCTGACCTTCTAGGCAGAGTTGCAAAGAAAAAGCCATATCTCAGACTGCCCATCTTAATCTTTTCTATTTATTGGCCAGTCTGAGATATGGCTTTTTCTTTGCAACTCTGCCTAGAAGGTCAGTGACCCCAAACTTTTGAACAGTAGTGTAGGTGGGTAAACACTGATCGCCAATTGCAGTGATTAAAGTAACGCTCCCTATACTTTCAATGCATTTTTCTGCAAAAGGAGAGGAATGCTCGCGCAAAATGAAAAAGGTGCGTAAATGGCTTTTAAGTGTGTGAACTAGAGTTGTCACGATACCCACATTTTGACTTCGTTACCGCTAACAGGTTTAGTATCACGATACAACACCAAAACCACATTAAAAGAAAGCGTATTAGCTAGTCACAGAATAAACATTGAACCAATATGTTGATAACTGGTAGAACACCAAAGTATCTTCTATTCTATATTTACAATTTCCTTCAAAAATAACACCATATTAAATAACAGAAAAATATCTTGCATTTTCCTTATGCAAAACCATGAGAGTCAGAGCATACAAAATCATTTTACAATATATCTAAACTGTTGTAGAATGTAATTGATACATATCAGGGTTCATTTGCTCATCTATGGCCATAATATTGGGTCAAATTACATTTATTAGACCTATGATTAATTATTCATTACAGCTAAATAATTTAATGTATTAAATTAATATTTTAGTTCCAAAACTACATAAAAAAAACAAAACACTGACGCTTCTGTAGTGCAAGTCTCTACAATGGACTTTACACAGCATACCATGATTCCCAGAGCGCTTTTCAACTCTCAAGGTGCAATGCTCCACCCAGGGCTGCTGGCTGGCTACTGCTAGCAAGCCCAGACAAACACGAAGTAGGCCTAATCTAAATGAATTGCTGTCATAGGGAAGTTATGAGTGCATTTCACATCACCTTTGGGTTGTAATCATATTAATGTCATTTTGAATATAATTGCTAGTAGAATAACGTTACAATGTGTAAAATAGTTTTGTATGTCGTTTGGGAACTAAACCTCCCTTTCACTGCACTGCTTTGCACCACCGGCATTTTCGCTCTCCTCTCGCTTGCTTCTCAAAAGTGGCTTGCACTATGTCAAGTAGCCTGGCTAGCTTACTACTACCCCCTTGAGAAGATTCAAACAAATTACTAGACACACTCGATCCTCTCAATCCGTATATGACCTGAGACACATTTGACAGAAGTACCGAAAGTAAAAAAAATATATAAAAAATCTAGTTCCGAACTGTTTTTCCATGTTGTAGTACCGAAAAAGTACAGAAGTTTCAGTATACCGTGCAATACTAGCGTTAACCCTCCACTACACCACTGTTGGGGTCAAACAGAGACTGGGAAGGATACGGACAAGCTTCATGTTTGTCGAGGCTGGGGCATTGCACTCTGGACAGTTCGTATTAAATGTCAACACCTGAAGGAGAAATTAGATATATTACTCCAGGGTAAATTGAGGAAAAACTCAATCAATATTTTGATGCAAAATGTCTGGAAATCCCACCTCATTTCTCATACTGTCAATGTCATTACTGGGCTTTTCCTCTTCGTCTTCAGCCTGAGCAACAACAAAAAAAGGACATACATTTTTTCTTTTTAAGTCGCATTTTTCTTATGCTAGATAAAAGTTTACTGGTGAACATGGGTCAAATTACAAATGGCGTCTGCAGTCTATTGTTTTCTTCTATCCTGTGAGGATTCCACACGCATTGGCACAAGACATCTTGAGGACAGCAACCGAGGCACTGCCTTTCTAAAACAGATATGTTCCCCTTACAGGAGTAGTGATGTGTCAAGTCAAACTACTCGCCTTTATTCCTAACTGGGCGTCCTGTTGGGGAGTTCTCTTGTAGTGGCTGACCGAGAGAGCCTCATCCTTCTGCGGCGCAAAGGGGTTCTCCACAAAACTGTTCCCAGATGGATCATCAATGACCTACAATAACAACACACATACTCATGTATCTTAAAACAGAGGTTCATTCTGAAAGAAATCCAGAGTAAAAAAAGAACATTGTAGTTCTGATTAAACCTGTGCCTTGATTGTATAGCCAGAAATGTTTAATTACATGTAACTTCAATCTTGTACACAGATGAGAGGCTGGAGTGATACAATTGGACATACCAGTGTGAATCCACTTTCACCTTCTTTCAACTTCTTCAATTTATCAATGAACTCATTGATTTTCACAGCAACTTCTGGTGCAGTTGCCTTCAAGCATAAACATGATTTAGTCAACAAGCAGTGAAGTACATATGGCATTTGGTAAAATCAAAGTAAACAAAGCTTATACATTTCTTAGTGGCTGGTCTTGCTCCAACCCTGCAACTGCACGGTCTAAGAGGCCTTCGATGGTAGAGAGCGCTAGGGAGCAAGAGGAAAAGTTGATGGGTACTGTAAAACTGTTCTTCATCTCCTAAATGCATACAGCTTCACTTACTACAACAGTTGGATTAATTAAGTCAAGTTTACAACACTGTGCTGCTGTCGGCAAACACCTGTATAATAGGGATGTGCAGCTTTCTCTTTCCAGAAGGATTATCCGATACGATACAGGAACGATAGGTTTTAGTTTGCAACGATTCAGTGTGGTTTGATTAGAGGAACGAATTGATGCGACATTTGTTGCATACACACATTCAATTTCCAATTAAAATCTGATGCCGATGGAGCTCAGGAGCTCGGCCTCTCTGAGCTGGATCTGTTTGTGTGTGTGTGTTTGAATTATGTACTGTATACAGCACATTCAGAAAGTATTCAGACCCCTTGACTTTTCCACATGATGTTATGTTACAGCCTTATTCTAAAATGGATTAAATCGTTTTTTCCCCCCTCAATCAATCTACAGACAATGCCCCATAATGACAACGCGAAAACAGGTTTAGACATTTTTGCAAATGTATAAAAAAAATAAAACATTTACGTAGGTATTCAGACCCTTTACTCAGTACTTTCTTGAAACACCTTTCGCAGTGATTACAGCCTCGAGTCTTCTTGGGTATGACGCTACAAGCTTCGCACACCTGTATTTGGGGAGTTTCTCCCATTCTTCTCTGCAGATCCTCTCAAGCTCTGTCAGGTTGGATGGGGAGCGTCGCACCACAGCAATTTTCAGGTCTCTCTTTCTTTCTGTCTTAACAGGGCAGTGTTATAATTTGAGACAGGCTTGAATAAGCTAAGTAGCCAATAGGCAGAGCATAGCATAATTTGTCTGATTTCCTGTAATAATTGTAAGGGAATAATAATGATTTTTATTTTGTAAAGTGGTTTCTTGCATCTAACTACATTTTCAGTCACTTTGTCTGAATGACAAGTGGATAAACAGGTTAATGTCAATCCCTACATGTTTTTTTCAAAAGTCTCATGGAATGTAGGCCTACATTGAACACCACACATTGGCTGCTACTGTAGGCTGAACGATAGAACAGATATTTCCATGTTTAAATGTTATGGGATGCATTTTCTCCATTGTTTTTGATGGTAGGCCACTCTGGTAGGCCTACATTATGATCAAATAGCCTTCTTGGCCACTGTTTTGACTGTAATTTAAAAACGGGTACAGCCTCAGTGCCAGAAGTTGCACTGAATTTTCACAACATTCAAGTGTGCGCTCAGCAGACAACATTGAGTGCGGGTAGCAAAAGTGATTGCTGTCCTCGTTATGAAATGATCAACTTTACCCTGTATATCTAAAAATGACCATATATACTGATTGTTTCAAGCAAAACTACCAAAACTATTGCTGATGGTGAACCTAAACAATCGAAATAAAATCCAATGTAAGCCCCGATCAGCATGTAGCCTACCTATAGCCAGATGAGAGTTGTCTCCCCGGTGGTAGCTTAGGCTACTTTTATTCCAGTAAAACACAATTTTCAACAGTGCATTTGATAAGAAATTACATAGAAAATTACATTGGTTGTCACTCAACTAATAAAGCCTAATATTGCACAAGACATTTTTGTAAATATTTGAATGGTGAAGGTGACGCGCAGACGTGCCAGATCAGGAATAGGCCTACCTCTCTTTGGTCACTGCACAAAGCTGTGCACAGCGCACAGTTTGACTAGGCTGCTGATATTGCCTGGGGTTGTTAGGTTTGCAAAATGACTTGTAGATCAATGAGTGTCAACATAATTACATGCTTAGTTCGACACTGAAGGAGAGGATGCAGTTGTCACAAAATATTAGTTATTTTGGGAGGTAGAAAGAAAGTAATCTGAGCAAATTGTTTTAGTGAATCAGCATTTGAACCGACTTACTGACCGATGCATGCTACATTTGGATCGGTTTGGGGTCCCACAGACTGATGCACTCATATCTTAAACATTTGAACAGGGGACCGATGCGTATTGGTGAATCGTTACATTCCTACTCTATAAATAAAGGATAAAAATGATTCCAGTAAAAAAGCTAAGAGGAATCTCAGCAGTAAAAGACAGTATTATTGGATGAACAGACAAAAGGGAATTCTCTAGATCTGGGACCAAGCTAGCAATTCTCAGGCCGACAATGGGTGACCCTAATTTCTGGAATCAGTGGCAACATGACAGTAGTACGTATGCATGAAAAGTGAACATTGTTTTCCAAATCAGCAAAAGTTGACGGAGTACTTACAGCCCTTCTGTGTGTATGGGGGGATTTCAAAATCCAGTTCAGGAATTCTGGTAGTTGCACTGTCCGCTTTGACAACTTCTCGATTCATATCCTACAAAACAAGATAACAAAACAGACTAAATATAATAATAATACAATATATAATCAAATAATATAAGTAAGCAGAAAACAACATGGATCTATATAGCCTGGTCCTAGGTGGGCCCTGTTGGGTTCTCATGCAAAGCATTGACGACGGCATGGCCAATATGTACAACAGTCCCGACACTGTCTAAACGTTTCGCAAGTGAGAATTGTTTACGGTTTTAGATAGGAAACCTTTAGAACGTTACTTTCATATCATCATTTTTTTCTTTTTCTTCTTCTTAAAAAAAAAAAAAAGGTTAAAAAAATAAGGTCATATACACATTTTTTACGAGAATCCCACATGGCCATCTTGTTGCACGGTTTTTCCATTACAGCACCAGTGTCGCCAGTGATTATGTTCATGTTGGCTCTAGTGTTATTTTTTGGGAACTGTGTTTCCATCAGTGTTTGACAAGAATTGACAGAATCAACAACCTCTGCATTATCACCACAGCTGCTTTGTGAAGTGTTAACAGTGGAAGGGGTTAACCCAGGTTCAGAGTTAGCCATTGTTATGTAAATTCCAGCAAAAAAGTACCAGTGGCCTCGCCTTGGCCCCAAGTCAGAGCAGTTCCAGAGGCCATGGCCCAGTGAGACACTGGAGCAGGGCCGTGGAGGTGAAAACACAAAAGTCTGAGCCTTTTTGGTAAAACACTGGGGTAGGCCTTAATCCTTTGTGGAAATTCACCACACCTTTTCTAGCTATCTAGCATCTCTGAACACCTGTGTGTAAAGGAAGAAGGACGCCAGAAAAGTGTTGGTACTAAAAAAAATACTATCGGCTGCAACTGTATTTAAGTGTACAGTAAGTGTATATTTTGCATTTGTACAATTATTTTGATGTGATATTAAAAGTATTCATAGACGTGTTTCTAGAAATGTATCACAATTCGATTCAAGTTTAGATTGAGTATCAGGCTGTTTTGGCTGCCAAAGCCAGTTTACCTCTGAACATAATGGTTTATTTCTCATGTGTTTTTTTTTCGTATTATTTTTTACATTACATTTACGTCATTTAGCAGACACTCTTATCTTTTTTTTGTTCTTTTTTTTGGGGGGGTGGTGGTGGTGTGGGGTAAGGAGGGGGGGGGGTTAGAAGGATTACTTTATCCTATCCCAGGTGTTCCTTAAAGAGGTGGGGTTTCAAATGTCTCCGGAAGGTGGTGAGTGACTCCGCTGTCCTGGCGTCGTGAGGGAGCTTGTTCCACCATTGGGGTGCCAGAGCAGCGAACAGTTTTGACTGGGCTGAGCGAGAACTGTGCTTCAGCAGAGGTAGGGGAGCCAGCAGGCCAGAGGTGGATGAACGCAATGCCCTCGTTTGGGTGTAGGGACTACAACGTTGGGAAAGAGCTTGTAAGTAAGCATTTCACTATAAGGGCTACCTACACCTGTTGTATTTGGCGCATGTGACAAATAAAAATGTATCATCTTGGATGGAAAAGCAGTAGGCTAGCCCACACTCCTTAAGAGCTCATCTTGAGCTAGCCTAGTCCCAGAACTGTTTGTGCTCTTGCCAATGCCAACTCCATTGCTGTTTGGCATGACAATGAGTGGCATGATAGCTAGTACAGACAGACACAGGCTAGCTAGTATTCCCAATTGTTGCTAGCCACGCACACTTACATAGAAAAAAACCTAAACGTCCCTTGTTGGTCACGAATGTTTAATACTGTGTTAACAAACGAGCTTCAATACCATACAACACTCCTTCTGTGGCCTCCAACTGCTCTTAAACGCTAATAAAACTAAATGCATGCTCTTCAATCGAACGCCGCTTGCAGCCGCCCACCCGACTAGAATCACTACTCTCGGCGGGTCTGACTTAGAATATGTGGACAACTACAAATACCTAGGTGTCTGGTTAGACTGTAAACTCTCCTTCCAGACTCAAATTAAGCATCTCCAATCCAAAGTTAAATCTAGAATCAGATTCCTTTTTCGCAACAAAGCCTCCTTCACTCATGCTGCTAAACATGCCCTCATAAAACTGATATCCTACCGATCCTTGACTTCGGCGATGTCATTTACAAAATAGCTTCCAACACTCTACTCAGCAAATTGGATGTAGTCTATCCATTCGTTTTGTCACTAAAGCCCCATATACTACCCACCATTGTGACCTGTACGCTCTCGTTGGCTGGCCCTCACTACATATTCGTCGCCAAACCCACTGGCTCCAGGTCATCTATAAATCCCTTCTAGGTAAATCCCCGCCTTTCTTAGCTTACTGGTCACCATAGCAACACCCACCCATAGTATGCACTCCAGCAGGTATCTCTCACTGGTCATCCCCAAAGCCAACACCTCCTTTGGCCGCCATTCCTTCCAGTTCTCTGCTGCAAATGACTGGAACGAACTACAAATATCTCTGAAGCTGGAGACACTTATCTCCCTCACTATCTTTAAGCATCAGTTGTCAGAGCAGCTTACCGATCACTGTACCTGTACACAGCCCATCTGTAATTAGCCCACCCAACTACCTCATCCCCATATTGTTATTTACATTGTTATTTATTTTCCTCATTTGCACCCCCAGTATCTCTATTTGTACATCATCTTCTGCACATTATCACTCCAGTGTTAATACTAAATTGTAATTATTTTGCACTATGGCCTATTTATTGTCTTACCTCCATAACTTACTACATTTGCACACACTGTATATAGATTTTCTATTTTCTATTGTGTTATTGACTGTATGTTTTTGTTTATTCCATATGTAACTCTGTGTTGTTGTTTTATCGCACTGCTTTGCTTTATCTTGGCCAGGTCGCAGTAGTAAATGAGAACTTGTTCTCAACTGGCTTACCTGGTTAAATAAAGGTGAAATAAAAAAATAAAAAATACAATTATATTTGAACTTACTCTGCCGATTGTTCGTGGGATTGGTCCTTCAGTAGGTTGAAATTTGAGCCAAAATATCCATAGGAAGGTATTATTAAACTGTGTGGCAATAAAGATGTATTTTCTCGTGACAAAAGCCATGTGCACAAGACGTACATGCACACGATGCATGCAAACTAACAGAAGTCTTGCAGGTGTTTATGGTTTTGCACAAGTGCCAGGTGATAGAAATGTAAACGGCAGTACCAGCGCTCTAAAAAGTTGGGTAATAATACTTTCCTGTGAATATTTTGTCTCAAATTTCTACCCACTGAAGGACCAACCTCACTGACAACCGGTAGAGTAAGTTAAAATGTAATGTTATTAAACATTCTGGCTTGTAAGGAAACTTTCCAAGTTTTTGCAATGCTTTGTTTCAGACTGTATACTAAGAATCGGTATCACAGGCTGATTTATTAGGGAAGCCAGCTCACTACATCTCAAAGCCTACCACTGGTCAGTGGTTCAGCATATAACTGGGAAAGAAGCTGCATCCTAGTTAGATTAGACAGGACAAACTTGTTTTCACGAGTTTTGGTATATTGTCAAAATAAATATATCACAGCACATTTCTGGATTCATTCTGCAGCTTTTAGTTGATTAATTAGAATACTATTGGAAATGACTGTTGAAAGTTCCATTTTTATTCTTAAAACAACTTGAAAATGATGCTGTCGCTGTTTCCTGTTGACAAGTGAAAATAAGGAAGCTGGTACAGAATACAAAATATTCCAAAACATGCATCCCGTTTGCAACACAGCACTAAAGTAATACTGCAAGAAATGTGGCAAAGCAATTAACTTTTTGACCTGAATACAAAGTGTTATGTTTGGGGCAAATCCAATATAACACATTACTGAGTACGACTTTCCATATTTTCAAGCATAGTGGTGGCTGCATCATGTTTTGGGCACGCTTGTAATTGTTAAGGACTGGTGAGTTTTTCAGGATAAAAAGAAAGAAACAGAATGGAGCTAAGCACAGGCATAATCCTAGAGGAAAACCTGGTTCCGTTTGCTTTCCACCAGACTCTAGGAGATGAATTCACCTTTCAGCAGGACAATAACCTACAACAAGGCCAAATCTACACTGGAGTCGCTTACCAAGACGACATTGATTGTTCCTGAGTGGCCAAGTTAAAGTTTAGACTTAAATCTGCTTGAAAATCTATGGCAATACTTGAAAATGGTTGTCTAGCAATGATCAACAACCAATTTGATAGAGCTTGAAGAATTTTGAAAAGAAGAAATGGGCAAATGTTGCACAATCCAGGTGTGGAAAGCTCTTAGATCCTTACCCAGAAAGACTGAGCTGTAATCACTGCCAAAGGTGATATTGACTCAGGAGTGTGTATACTTATGTAAATGAGATATTTATGTATTTCATTTTCAGTACATTTGCAAAAATGTGTCATTGTGGGGTATTGTGTGTAGATGGCTGAGAAAAAAATATATTGAATCCATGTTGTACAACAAAATGTGGAATAAGTCAAGGGGTATGAATACTTTCTGAAGGCACTGTATATTTCTCACTAGTTTAACCATTTAGAGAGTTTAAAAATGATCTTATGCTAAATTTGACTGGGTGTTCTAGAAAGAGTTCCCATATAACTAGCAGATTGTAACGGGCTAATGTAATGCTCCATTAGCTGTTACAGGATAGGTACTGTTTGGCGTAGCACAGAATTTTCGACCAACCTTATTTTGGCAATACTATCTTCGTTCTCTATTTGGCCAAACATCTATCTTTTAAAATGTCCGTGTCCAGTTGCAGGTGGCTTGTTTTAATTTATCAAATGCTCAGTTAAAATAAATGTAAGCTAAATGAAGTAATCCAACAATGTGTACACCACCATCTTGTCTATTTCAAATATTCTTTCATTGATTGAGACAGGAGGGTCCACCCCAAAGTGCCTAATGTCATGATGACGCTCACCTGTCTCGATCATATTGTTGGATTAATTAATGGAGCAAAATATGTATTTATTTTAATACCGGAGCATTTGATAAATTCAAATGAATCACCTGCAACTGGAAGATAGTATCGCCAAGTTTAGGTTGGCTGAAAACTCTGTGCTACGCCAAACAGTACCCATCCTGTAACGGATAATGGAGCATCACATTAACCCATTACAATCTGGTAGCTACTTCCCATAGTGACTGTGCAGCAGCCCATTCATTTGCCCTCCCTAGCCATTGAAATATCTAAGTTAAAAATATTATTTTACTACACTGATTCCACAATTGAACGTCAGTATGTCATAAATCTTCTTATTTTATTAGGAAAATGTTTCATACACAAATAAAAACGTATGAAGAAAAAGGCCCTTAAAAAAAAAAAAAAGCAGATTTGCTCAACTATTTAGCATCATTAAAACATATACAAAACAAAATGTCAAAAAAATGTATTCGTTACATGTCTATTAGATTTGATATAATGTGGATTTGTATTATTATTATTTATTTTTCTCTCTTCCTTATTTCTTTGTGTAATCCCTCTGGCTGTTCGGTTGTGTTTTACATGTTACTGTATTTTTTATATTTTTTATGAATAATAAAAAATAAAAATAAAGTTAGATAGGCTACCTGTTTTGACTTGACATTGAGTGTGTAGGTGATGCCTTGATCCTGTATGCGACCAGCTGACTGGATTTCAGTGTTCGACCAACTGCAGTTGGGGCAGGTGAAAGAACTGATGATAATTTCTTTGAAGAAAGGAATCTTCGTAAGAAGAATACGTGTCATTCCCTACAAAGATTGAGAGAATACATGTTGGATGACAGTCAATCATACAGCGATAGACAATTCCATACGTTAAATTAACTGGTCTGTGTGTTAGCTAGCTAGTTAGCGTTACCTAGCTAGCTACTTACATTTTGGTAACAATTCATGCACAGACTCTCGATTTCGGTGGGTTGATTGTCTTCGTCATCAGCACTGATCTCTTTGAAAACACTACCGCCACGGACATTTTCCTCTGCTATGACGGACATTATTTCACTTCACGAGAGTTGTCAATAAGAAAATAAACTGTTATTTTGCATATGCTGCCCGCTGTTTCTGGAACTTCCTATTACATCTGAAGGCGCAGTACAAAACACACGTTTTCATCTCTGCTTTTCTCCCTACCCCCGGAAATAAACGTGAAATGCTTATTCTTCTTTGGTGGAAAATGTCACATGTTTTGTGCGCATGCGTAAAACCCAATCAACGTCTCGTCATTTTGCAGGAAGTGGCCTTGTTAGTTTAAAAAAAACTCTTAACGAATTCCTTGTGACGTCCCAAATCTGACGTCACCATAGAATTAGGAATTAGAATACAATAATGAACATGGATGGATCGGAAAGCCATTTTATTCATTGAATTGTTTGTATCAATATATTTTTTTTGTTGTATCAATAATTAATATGTTTATATAAATACATATATTTTTTTTCTATCAAGTAAATATTTATCGATATCAAAAATGTGATTTTTTTTCAATTTTATTATGGATATAAATAATTAAATCATAAATATTAATACTATTCTTTTTTATACAAAATACATCTATGATAATGACCTTCATGGTTGCAGGACTGCATTTGCTTGCTCCTACAAAGCCTACACACCCATTGCACAGTTTTCATTTTTATCTAAAAAGGATTACATTTGATTATTTTCCTATAGATCTACACAACTTACCCCTCCTTATAACCAGTAGATGTACACAGACGAAGGGATGTGTTGTTGAACTTGACATATTGCCACTGGCCCTGTTCAGCAGGAAGTCCAGCACCCACAAGGTAATGCTGGGGTCACAGGATGTTGGTGGCACCTTAATTGGGGATGACCGGCTCATGGTAATGGCTGGAGCAGAATCAGGAGAATGGTATCAAATACAGTGCATTCGGAAAGTATTCAGACCCCTTGACCTTTTCGACATTTTGTTACGTTACAGCCTTATTCTAAAATAGATTAAATTATTTTCGTCCCCCATCAATCCACACACAATAGCCCATAATGACAAAGGAAAAACAGGTTAAGACATTTTTGCAAATGTATTAAAAATAAAAAACTGAAATATTACATTTACAGTGCCTTGCAAAAGTATTCATCTCTCATGGCGTTTTTCCTATTTTGTTGCATTACAACCTGTAATTTAAATGGATTTTTATTTGGATTTCATGTAATGGTCATACAAAAAAATAGTCCACATTGGTGAAGGGAAATAAAAAAATAACTTGTTTCAAAAAATTCTAAAAAACAAATAACGGAAAAGTGGTGCGTGCATATGTATTCACCCCATTTGCTATGAAGCCTCTAAATAAGATCTGGTGCAACCAATTACCTTCAGAAGTCACATAATTAGTTAAATAAAGTCCACCTGTGTGCAATCTAAGTGTCACATGATCTGTCACATGATCTCAGTATATATACACCTGTTCTTTAAGCCATTGCTTAAAGAAACAAATAAGCAAACACATTTGGTGTTCGCCAAAAGGCATGTGGGAGACTCCCCAAACATATGGAAGAAGGTACTCTGGTCAGATGAGACTAAAATTGAGCTTTTTGGCCATCAAGGAAACCGCTATGTCTGGCGCAAACCCAACACCTCTCATCACCCCAAGAACACCATCCCCACAGTGAAGCATGGTGGTGGCAGCATCATTCTGTGGGGATGTTTTTCATCAGCAGGGACTGGGAAACTGGTCAGAATTGAAGGAATGATGGATGGCGCTAAATATAGGGAAATTCTTGAGGGAAACCTGTTTCAGTCTTCCAGAGATTTGAGACCGGGACGGAGGTTCACCTTCCAGCAGGGCAATGACCATAAGCATACTGCTAAAGCAACACTCGAGTGGTTTAAGGGGAAACATTTCAATGTCTTGGAATGGCCTAGTCAAAGCCCAGACCTCAATCCAATTGAGAATCTGTGGTATGACTTAAAGATTGCTGTACACCAGCGGAACCCATCCAACTGGAAGGAGCTGGAGCAGTTTTGCCTTGAAGAATGGGCAAAAATCCCAGTGGCTAGATGTGCAAAGCTTATAGAGACATACCCCAAGAGACTTGCAGCTGAAATCGCTGCAAAAGGTGGCTCTACAAAGTTTTGACTTTGGGGGGGTGAATAGTTATGCATGCTCAAGTTCTGTTTTTTCGTCTTATTTCTTGTTTGTTTAACAAGAAAAAATATTTTGCATCTTCAAAGTGGTAGGCATGCTGTGTAAATCAAATGATACAACCCCCCCCAAAAAATCAATTAATTCCAGGTTGTAAGGCAACAACATAGGAAAAATGCCAAGGTGGCTGGACCCTTTACTCAGTACTTTGTTGAAGCACCTTTGGCAGCGATTACAGCCTCGAGTCCTCTTGGGTTTGACGCTACAAGCTTGGCACACCTGTATTTGTGTAGTCTCTCCCATTCTTCTCTGCAGCTCCTCTCAAGCTCTGTCAGGTTGGATGGGGAGCGTCGCTGCACAGGTATTTTCAGGTCATCCCAGAGATGTTCGACCGGGTTCAAGTCCGGGCTCTGGCTGGGCCACTCAAGGACATTGAGACTTGTCCAGAAGCCACTCCTGCATTGTCTTGGCTGTTTTCTTAGGGTTGTTGTCATTTTGGAAGGTGAACCTTCGCCCCAGTCTGAGGTCCTGAGTGCTCTGGAGCAGGTTTTCATCAAGGATCTCTCTGTACTTTGCTCCGTTCATCTTTCCCTCGATCCTGAAAATTCTCCCAGTCCCTGCCACTGAAATACATCCCCACAGCATGATGCTGCCACCACCATGCTTCACCGTAGAGATGGTGCCAGGTTTCCTCCAGACATGACGCTTGGCATTCAGTCCAAAGAGTTCAATCTTGGTTTCATCAGACCAGAGAATCTTGTTTCTCATGGTCTGAGAGTCCTTTAGGTACTTTTTGGCAAACTCCAAGCGGGCTGTCGTGCCTTTTACTGAGGAGTGGGTTCCATCTGGCCACTCTACCATTAAGGCCTGATTGGTGGAGAGTGCTGCAGAGATGGTTGTCCTTCAGTAAGGTTATCCCATCTCCACAGAGGAACTCTGGAGCTCTGTCAGAGTGACCATAGGGTTCTTGGTCACCTCCCTGGCCAAGGCCCTTCTCCCCCAATTGCTCAGTTTTGCCGGGTGGCCAGCTCTAGGAAGAGTCTTGGTGGTTCCAAACTTCTTCCATTTAAGAATGATGGAGGCCACTGTGTTCTTGGAGACCTTCAATGCTGCAGACATTTTTTGGTACCCTTCTCCCAGATCTGTGCCTCGACACAATCCTGTCTTGGAGCTCTACGGACAATTCCTTCAACCTCATGGCTTGGTTTTTGCTCTGACATGTACTGTCAACTGTGGGACCTAATATAGATAGGTGTGTGTCTTTCCAAATCATGCCAAATCAATTGAATTTACCGCAAGTGGACTCCAATCAAGTTGTAGAAACATCTGAAGGATGATTAATGGAAACAGGATGCACCTGAGCTCAATTTCGAGTCTCATAACTGCTTATGTAAATAAGGTATTTCTGTTTTCTTTTTTTATACATTTGCAAAGATTTCTAAAAACCTGTTTTCGCTTTGTCAATATGGGGTATTCTGTATAGATTGATGTAACGTAACAAAATTTGAAAAAAGGGAAGGTGTCTGAATACTTTCCGAATTCACTGTACATCAAACACCTGGTTTCCAGGTGTTTGATGGCATTCCATTTGCTCCGTTCCAGCCATTATTATAAGCCGTCCTCCCCTCAGCAGCCTCCGGTGGCTGGGGTCCACCTGTATGTGGGGGAATTTGTCACAGAGAAGGTTGCCCTATTAGTCCATTCCTCTACATTTTGAGTCTACCTTTTTACTTCTCAGTTATTCAAAATTCATAAGGCACACGCACATCTGAGCTATCTTTTTTGCAGGTGCATGGTAACAGTTGAATAAGATGAGAAATATTGCTGGGATACTAGTATTACATCTACTAGTCTCCCAGAATTCCTTTACAGGTATTATGATAGACGAAAGATACATGTAGATATCCCAATTGACAGATGATACCACTATTTTTTGGGAAAAGCTATTAGGAAGTTCTTCTAGCTCTTGATGTACAGTTGTAGTCGGAAGTTTACATACACTTAGGTTGGAGTCATTAAAACTCGTTTTTCAACCACTCCACAATTTTCTTGTTAACAAACTATAGTTTTGGCAAGTCAGTTAGGACATCTACTTTGTGCATGACACAAGTAGTTTTTCCAACAATTGTTTACAGACAGATTATTTCACTTATAATTCACTGTATCACAATTCCAGTGGGTCAGAAGTTTACATACACTAAGTTGACTGTGCCTTTAAACAGCTTGGAAAATTCCAGAAAACGATGTCATGGCTTTAGAAGCTTCTGATAGGCTAATTGACATCATTTGAGTCAATTGGAGGTGTACCTGTGGATGTATTTCAAGGCCTACCTTCAAACTCAGTGCCTCTTTGCTTGAAATCATGGGAAAATCAAAAGAAATCAGCCAAGACCTCAGAAAAAACATTGTAGACCTCCACAAGTCTGGTTCATCCATGGGAGCAATTTCCAAACGCCTGAAGGTACCACGTTCATCTGTACAAACAATAGTACGCAAGTATAAACACCATGGGACCACGCAGCCGTCATACCGCTCAGGAAGGAGACACATTCTGTTTCCTAGAGATAAACGTGTTTTGGTGCGAAAAGTGCAAATCAATCCCAGAACAACAGCAAAGGACCTTGTGAAGATGCTGGAAGAAACGGGTACAAAAATACGCACACCATCCCAACCGTGAAGCACGGGGGTGGCAGCATCATGCTGTGGGGGTGCTTTGCTGCAGGAGGGACTGTTGCACTTCACAAAATAGATGGCATCATGAGGAAGGACAATTATGTGGATATATTGAAGCAACATCTCAAGACATCAGTCAGGAAGTTAAAGCTTGGTCGCAAATGGGTCTTCCAAATGGACAATGACCCCAAGCATACTTCCAAAGTTGTGGCAAAATGGCTTAAGGACAACAAAGTCAAGGTATTGGAGTGGCCATCACAAAGCCCTAACCTCAATCAAGTAGAAAATGTGTGGGCATAACTGAAAAAGCGTGTGCGAGCAAGGAGGCCTACCAACCTGACTCAGTTACACCAGCTCTGTCAGGAGGAATGGGCCAAAATTCACCCAACTTATTGTGGGAAGCTTGTGGAAGGCTACCCAAAACGTTTGACCCAATTTAAAGAATTTAAAGGCAATGCTACCAAATACTAATTGAGAGTATGTAAACTTCTGACTCACTGGGAATGTGATGAAAGAAATAAAAGCTGAAATAAATCATTCTCTCTACTATTATTCTGACATTTCACATTCTTAAAATAATGTGGTGATCCCAACTGACCTAAGACAGGGAATTTTTACTAAGATTAAATGTCAGGAACTGTGAAAAACTGAGTTTAAATGTATTTGGCTAAGGTGTATGTAAACTTCCGACTTCAACTGTAATTACAACGAGTCTGAATTTGAAAAAGTGTATAATGTTTGCATTGAAAGGTACTGATATCACTGAAGTTTGCAGGATTCCAGGAAGTGGTCTTGTAGTTTTAGATTTTTTTGTAAGCTTTTTGAATGGTCTTCAATTGGCAGAAACAGCGCAATGGTCATCAAGCCAAAACGTCATAAAGGGAATCAGGCAGAAGTAAATTAATCCACAAACACAATATGATTTTATACATATCTTAAATGACCACTTTTCACGAATTTGATTATGTAATCGTCAAGCCCATTCAAAATATTAGGGGACACGACCCGGAAGCAAAGCGGAAGATGACATCACGAAAGATGTGAAAGGGATAAATGAAGATGTCCCACTCAGGCTGTTTACAATTTTTTTAAAATTTCAGTCTGCTTGACAGGGTGGCTATCCCATAGGCACCAATGCGATAGCAGCTGTATCTGGTGTGCTTAGTTCATTGACTCCATACGGAACCAGTAAGAATTATCGAATAGGATGTCTTGCTTCCTATTCCTTCTCTGAAGTCACTTTCACAGGGTATATCCCATAGAAATAGTTAAGAGGACGCAACATTGTATCTGTCCCATTATGGTGTCTGTGAGAACATGGGCAGCGCCATTGAGGCTATCTCAATTTTGAACAGATGCCCTGGATGGAATTATGTGATCCTTCCTTAACCCATAGGAAGTCCCACCCAGTTGAATACTTCAAAATGGTGAAAGTCCTCAATGGTACTGCCCATGCTAAAACAGACTTTTGGGAACTACAGTCCTCTAGCTAGCTCAATGGTATATCCAGAAATAGGGTGAGTTCGTTTTGTATAGCTTGGTACCCCGGGTGGGCGGAGTATGCACATTTTAGACCAGGGACCGTGGGCCGCCTTTTGAAGGCCCTTGGATCAATTCCCCCACTCAGTCGTGGTCTCAACTTACTGTTGCGAGTTAGAATAGTAGAATACAGCAGTTTTCCTCGTTATGTCAGTCAATTAGCCCATGTCAGCAAAATTTTTTAGATTGCTAAGATATTTTAGTGGCCAGCTATCTAAACTTGTTTTCATGATTGAATTACTGGCCGGGAGGCTCCCATTGATTTTGTTAGGCAGTCTCACTCAGATATCATATTCAAAACTGAAAACATTTCTCTCCACCCTATGGCAAAATGAGTAGAATTGCATGAAATGACTTATACATTTGCAAAATCTTCTCTCTGCCAATGGCAAAATGTGTGAAATTGCAGCAAATTTGCTTTACAACTGCAACATTTTCTCTACACCCCATGGCAAAATGTGAAGAATTGCACTACATTAACTCTAACTCTCAAGAGGTGGTCCACTAAAATGTTTTGCTTGTGTAGTGTATTAGGATTATGTCTTTGTTAATGGTTTTTAAGTGGAACTGAAAGAATGTTTATTCTAGTTCAAAAGTAGCCATTTGTAGGGTGACGCCCCAGGGGAGACAGGTGATTGGACAGCAGAGGGAGCAACCCATATTTTTGCATTCTTTATAAGTATAGGCTGGAGGCAGGGGGGGTTAGAGCGGCCATTGCAATTCGGGGGATGCCGTTCTCCGGGTGTCATGACATCCGTCACTTATGCTGAAATCTTGTGATATGAATAAAACTTATGATCAAAGGTTCAGTATGAGCGGACTCCTTTGTTTATCAGCAATAATTGCCAGCATTTACTCGATACTACACTTGCAATGTTGGGGAGGGAGAGGGGTGGATATGGAAGTGGGTATGTGACATGGAGGTTTGGTCTGTACCTCAGACAATAATATAACCAATGGTCTACTCACTGCATCTTTATTTGCTAATTTAATGGAAACTGTTCATATGGTAAACTAAACAAAGCAGTTCTTTTGTGAGAATTGGGCCTCATATATGTGACTTAGATGAGTCACCGGATTCCATTATCAGTCACTAGTAGGAATGTGCTTGGCATGAATTTGACTTTTATGTACACCCTCTTACTTAGATAATTCCCCTCATGAAAAAGAGTCCTTCTCCATCTGTGTTAAAGGTAGGCCTACTTAATTTCCCTTCATTGATTTATGGAATTAGGAGGGGAAAACACTCATAACAAAAGAGTCAAGGCCAATGACATAAATAATCATTTATTCTCCAGGACTCAAAATGTATAGACAAACTTTTCTTCCTTAAAATCTCAGTGTCTTTGACATTCAAGTATCCAAAACATACATAGCAGCTATTATCAGTTTACATTACTCAGCCAATGACCAGCCTTGGCTTTACAGATTGGGCCACTGGGGTTATGTGCTTTGTGTTTACAGGGTAGTGAGATTGGACATTGGAATTAATCGACTTCCTCGATGGTGGGGCCTGAGGATCCACCACCTCCAGGAGCAGCACCGGCACCGCCAGCACCTGGGAAGCCTCCGGGCATTCCACCGGGCATACCACCTGGCATACCACCGGCACTCTGGTACAGCTTGGTGATGATGGGGTTGCACACCTTCTCCAGCTCCTGTTGCTGGTGCTCATACTCTTCCTTCTCCGCAGTCTGGGAAACAAAAATATACAGGTTAAGATTGATTGATTTCTTTCCCTTCTTGACACGTTATGGCTAATTTACATTTTACATTTACATTTTAGTCATTTAGCAGACGCTCTTATCCAGAGCGACTTACAGTTAGTGAGTGCATACATTTTTCATACTGGCCCCCCGTGGGAATCGAACCCACAACCCTGGCGTTGCAAGCACCATGTTCTATCGACTGAGCTACAGGAGGCTAATAACTTGGTTTTAAATGAATGATGGGCACATCAATATTCTGTACCTGGTTCTTATCCAGCCAGGCAATGATCTCATTGCACTTGTCCAGAATCTTGGTCTTGTCCTCTTCGCTGATCTTGCCCTGCAGTTTCTCGTCCTCCACGGTGGATTTCATGTTGAAAGAGTAGGACTCTAGTGAGTTCTTAGAGGAGACCTTGTCACGCTGCACATCATCCTCACACTTGTACTTCTCAGCCTCCTGGACCATGCGCTCAATGTCCTCCTTACTCAGACGACCTAGTCAGACAAAAAAAAAAAAACAGTGTTAAGTTAAGGATACACTCACTATCCAAGTGGGCATAATGTAATCAAATTTCACTTTGGTCACATTTTATTCTGTTGTTTACCTTTGTCGTTGGTGATGGTGATCTTATTCTCCTTGCCAGTGCTCTTATCAACGGCAGAGACATTGAGGATGCCGTTTGCGTCAATGTCGAAGGTGACCTCAATCTGAGGAACACCGCGAGGTGCAGGGGGGATTCCAGTCAGCTCAAACTTGCCCAACAGGTTGTTGTCCTTGGTCATGGCCCTCTCACCCTCGTACACCTGGAGGATACAGTCAATATTAGCAAAACATACATGGTCTTCAAATGAGAAGTACATTTCACTAAATAGTCGCTCAGACATCCAAGGAAAGTATTGGGCCATCTTTGGTCTTTCAACCTCTGGTAGAAACTACAAATAGCAGGAGTAAACTTCATCACAGAGAGTGGCAGATGAAACATTGCCCTGAAATGGACATTTCATGCATGCCCTTTCTCACCTGAATGAGCACACCAGGCTGGTTGTCTGAGTAGGTGGTGAAGGTCTGGGTTTGCTTAGTTGGGATGGTGGTGTTACGTTTGATCAGGATGGTCATGACACCTCCAGCGGTCTCAATACCCAGGGACAGGGGTGTGACGTCCAGCAGAAGCAGGTCCTGGACATTCTCAGACTTGTCACCTGAGAGTATGGCTGCCTGGACAGCTGAAAATGAGAATGGAGAGGTTAGACACATGGAAAAACATTACTTTAGACTCACAGTGCCATTGTCGCTCAGACATCCAAGGAAGGTTTTGGGCCATCTTTGGTCTTTTGACCTCTGGTGGAAACTACGAATGGCAGAAAAAAACTTCATCACAGCGAAACTATTGAGTTAGGGCTAGTTATAGCAGCACATTGGCCACAGAGCGAACACAAGCTGATCAGTGACCCACCTGCGCCATAGGCCACAGCCTCGTCGGGGTTGATGCTCTTGTTGAGCTCTTTGCCATTGAAGAAATCTTGGAGCAGTTTCTGGATCTTGGGGATACGAGTGGAGCCTCCGACCAGAACGATGTCGTGTACCTGGGCTTTGTCCATCTTGGCGTCGCGGAGGGACTTCTCCACTGGGTCCAGGGTGCCACGGAAAAGGTCTGCGTTGAGTTCCTCAAAGCGAGCCCGGGTGATGGAGGTGTAGAAGTCGATTCCCTCGTACAAAGAGTCGATCTCGATGCTGGCCTGGGTGCTGGAGGACAGGGTGCGCTTTGCCCTCTCACAGGCGGTGCGGAGACGGCGAACAGCCCTCTTGTTGTCGCTGATGTCTTTCTTGTACTTGCGCTTGAACTCTGCGATGAAGTGGTTGACCATGCGGTTGTCAAAGTCTTCTCCACCCAGATGGGTGTCTCCAGCAGTGGACTTGACCTCAAAGATGCCATCCTCGATGGTCAGGATGGACACGTCAAAGGTGCCACCACCCAGATCAAAGATAAGGACGTTCCTTTCAGCACCGACCTGAAACAGAAGAGAATGTTCAGTATTTGAATTTATAAAAACAAACTAGAAACCATATGACACATGACTATGCATTCCAGTGCTGGGGTCATTTAAAACTTCAATAACAATTAAACCAAAAAAAGTCATCTATTTTCAATGACTGAGGAGTAGAATCTATTTATTGCAAAAGTTTCCATTTTTGAATTTTAAATGAAAATCACTTCCTGAATTGACTGCCTTCAATTCGTATTGACCCTAGCCTTGATGTATTCACTCCGACATCCAAGGAAGGTGTTGGGCCATCTTTGGTTTTTCAACCTCTGGTGGAAACTATGAATGGTAGGAATAAACTTCATCATAGCGCATTAAATCTAGTTTGTCCCCATCAATTCTAATTGAAAATAACACAAATTATTTTAAAGGATAATTATTATTTCAATAAACCATAACTAGACCTTCACCTGACCTCTAAAATATATGGGTCTCACCTTCTTGTCCAAGCCATAAGCAATAGCGGCAGCAGTTGGCTCATTGATTATTCGCAGAACGTTCAGACCAGAGATTGTTCCAGCATCTTTGGTTGCTTGGCGCTGAGAGTCATTGAAGTAAGCTGGCACTGTTACAACAGCATTTGATACCGTCTGCATTAAAAGAGGGTGAAAAAAAATTAAGGTGGGAATGAATAGACTTACTGTAAATAATACTCTGAAATAGACTGCACCCACTGGGCACACCACATCATTTCAACGTTGAAATGTTGGTAATATTTGGATGAGATGTCGATCAATGAGATTTCAACCTTTATTCACCCACTCAAAAACGACAGCCAGAAGTTTGTTGAAATCCCAATGTGTTATCACTATGCTTTCAACCATCTAAGGCTGCGTTTACACAGGCAGCCCAATTTGGATATTTTTTCACTAATTGGTCTTTTGACCAATCACATCAGATCTTTTAACATCAGATATTTTGGTCAAAAGTCAAATTAGTGAAAGAATACCAGAATTGGTATGCCTGTGTAAACAGCCGTAAAGCATAACCAAATTCCAATAGAAAAACAATGTATGATTTTTAGTTTAGTTGTCATCTAAATGTTTCATCACTGCGCTTTCAACCATTTAAAAGTTCAAATGGGAACACAATGTCATATATTTTGTATTTATACAACAACTTAAAATGTGTTATCACTATGCTTCATATAATAGCACAACCAAATTACCTGGATTGCAATTGAGATTACAAGTGATCAATGCTGATCGAGATTCTGCGCAGATTATTATAGCAATTATAAAGATTTCCACAGACCTGCAACCTTTGCATGCTATGTTGAACATGCACACTTTCTATGATTACATAAGAAGACATTTACAGTTACAGTAACCTCAAAATGTGGCCATGGATGTGTTACTCATTTAAGGTTGAATAAATACTGTTATATTACTTTGTAAAATAGCCTTAACTTTTAGCTATTTACTGTATTACAAAAGTAATATTGAATTGTGTTTGGTTGACAACGCAACCAAATATCAACATTTAAAAGAGATATATAATGCTTGGATAGTTTCATCTGAACCACTGGCTTAATCCTATTCTTTAACTTGTATTTTTGATTTAGTTGGAGACGTGAAATCCAACATATCATTTGTTAACTTGTCGACAAGTTAATAGGCTATTTACTGTATTGCAAAAGTGATATTGAATTGTGTTTGGTTGTCAATGCAACCAAATATCAACATTTGAAGGAGATGTATATTTTGTGCCACTGACAGTCTGGCTTTAATTACAGCTTGTAAAGGAATAGGACTAAATCAAATCACACTTTATTTAAAATGCATTTAAAGTTTGATTTGATTTAGTCCTATTCTTTATCTTTTTGGTTGAGATGGAGACGTGAATCCAACATATTAATTATATGTATTAATGATAACAAATATATATATACTGTATATATACACAGTACCAGTCAAGTGTTTGGACACACCTACTCATTCAAGGGTTTTTCTTTATTTTTACTATTTTCTACATTGTAGAAGATTCTTCAAAGCAGTCACCCTTTGCCCTGATGACAGCTTTGCACACTCTTGGCATTCTCTCAACCAGCTTCATGAGGTAGTCACCTGGAATGCATTTCAATTAACAGGTGTGCCTTGTTAAAAGTTAACAGTCCATCATTACTTTAAGACATGAAGGTCAGTTAATCTGGAAAATGTCAAGAACTTTGAAAGTTTCTTCAAGTGCAGTCGCAAAACCATCAACCGCTATGATGAAACTGGCTCTCATGAGGACCGCTACAGGAAAGGAAGACCCAGAGTTACAGTTGAAGAAGTCGGAAGTTTACATACACCTTAGCCAAATACATTTAAACTCACTTTTTCACAATTCCTGACATTTAATCCTAGTAAAAATTCCCTGTTTCAGGTCATTTAGGATCACCACATTATTTTAAGAATGTGAAATGTCAGAATAATAGTAGAGAGAATTATTTATTTCAGCTTTTATTTATTTCATCACGTTCCCAGTGGGTCAGAAGTTTACATACACTCAATTAGTATTTGGTAGCATTGCCTTTAAATTCTTTAACTTGGGTCAAACGTTTTGGGTAGCCTCCCACAAGCTTCCCACAATAAGTTGGGTGAATTTTGGCCCATTCCTCCTGACAGAGCTGGTGTAACTGAGTCAGGTTCGTAGGCCTCCTTGCTCGCACACGCTTTTTCAGTTATGCCCACACATTTTCTATAGGATTGAGGTCAGGGCTTTGTCGATGTCCACCCCAATACCTTGACTTTGTTGTCCTTAAGCCATTTTGCCACAACTTTGGAAGTTTGCTTGGGGTCCTTGTCCATTTGGAAGACCCATTTGCGACCAAGCTTTAACATCCTGACTGATGTCTTGAGATGTTGCTTCAATATATCCACATAATTGTCCTTCCTCATGATGCCATCTATTTTGTGAAGTGCACCAGTCCCTCCTGCAGCAAAGCACCCCCATAGCATGATGCTGTCACCCCCGTGCTTCACGGTTGGGATGGTGTTCTTCGGCTTGCAAGCCCCACCTTTTTCCTCCAAACATGACGATGGTCATTATGGCCAAACAGTTCTATTTTTGTTTCATCAGACCAGAGGACATTTCTCAAAAAAGTACGATCTTTGTCCCCATGTGCAGTTGCAAACCGTAGTCTGGCTTTTTTATGGCGGTTTTGGAGCAGTGGCTTCTTCCTTGCTGAGCGGCCTCTCAGGTTATGTCGATATAGGACTCGTTTTACTGTGGATATAGATAATTTTGTACCTGTTTCCTCCAGCATCTTCACAAGGTCCTTTGCTGTTGTTCTGGGATTGATTTGCACTTTTCGCGCCAAAGCACGTTCATCTCTAGGAGACAACGCATCTCCTTCCTGAGCGGTATGACGGCTGCGTGGTCCCATGGTGTTTATACTTGCGTACTATTGTTTGTAAGTGTATGTAAATTTCAGACTTCAACTGTACCTCTGCTGCAGAAGATAAGTTCATTAGAGTTATCAGCCTTTAACTGCACCTCAGATTGCAGCACAAATAAATGCTTCACAGAGTTCAAGTAACAGATACATCTCAACATCAACTGTTCAGAGGAGACTGCATGAATCAGGCCTTCATGGTCGAATTGCTGCAAAGAAACCACTACTAAAGGACACCAATAAGAAGATGAGACTTGCTTGGGCCAAGAAACACGAGCAATGGACATTAGACCAGTGGAAATCTGTCCTTTGGTCTGATGAGTCCAAATTAGGAGATTTTTGGTTCCAACCACTGTGTCTTTGGAAGACGCAGAGTAGGTGAACGGATGATCTCTGCATGTGTGGTTCTCACCATGAAGCATGGAGGAGGAGGTGTGATGGTGCTTTGCTGGTGACACTGTCTGTGATTTATTTAGAATTCAAGGCACAATTAACCAGCATGGCTACCACAGCATTCTGCAGCGATACGCCATCCCATCTGGTTTGCGCTTAGTGGGACTATCATTTGTTTTTCAACAGGACAATGACCCAACACACCTCCAGGCTGTGTAAGGGCTATTTGACCAATAAGGAGAGTGATGGAGTGCTGCATCAGATGACCTGGCCTCCACAATCACCCAACCTCAACCCAATTGAGATGGTTTGGGATGAGTTGGACTGCAGAGTGAAGGAAAAGCAGCCAACAAGTGCTCAGCATATGTGGGAACTCCTTCAAGACTGTTGGAAAAGCATTCCAGGTTAAGCTGGTTGAGAGAATGCCAAGTGTGTGCAAAGCTGTCATCAAGGCAAAGGGTGGCTACTTCGAAGAATCTAAAATATATTTTGATTGGTTTAACAATTTTTGGGTTACTACATGATTCCATATGTGTTCTTTCATAGTTTTGATGTCTTCACTATTATTCTACAATGTAGAAAATAGTAGAAAATAAAGAAAAACCCTTGAATGAGTAGGTGTCCAAACTTTTGACTGGCACTGTAGATAGATTAACTCTCCAGTAGGAGATGCTGCCCAGCCTACTGTTTATTTCTGATAGTGGATATAATGTTGAACATCTGAAATTGTTTCAAAGGTACAAATTCAACATATTTTATACAAGGTTTGTCTATTTGAAAATTGGTTACCATAATCCTGTGGTTGAAATTTCACCCTCAAAAGTTTACGTTGATGACTTCTTTCAAATCCAATGTTTTTCCACGTAGATGCCACATCACAATACATTGACAAATTACGTTGAAACAACGTTGATTTAACCAGTTTGTGCCCAGTGGGCAATGCATTTCAAACTCACCTTCCCGAGGTAGGCCTCTGCAATCTCCTTCATCTTGACCAACACCATGGAGGAGATTTCCTCGGGGTAGAAGCTCTTGGTCTCGCCTTTGTATTCAACCTCCACTTTGGGGCGTCCGCTGTCGCTGATGACGTTGAAAGGCCAGTGCTTCATGTCGGACTGAACCACGGTGTCCTCAAACCTTCTGCCAATCAAACGCTTAGCATCTGGAATACACAAATAAAAAGTATTAAAATGATTGCATTATAGACATACTTCAATCATACCAATTGACCTTTGGTTTCTCACTCAGACATCCAAGGAAGATACTAGAACCATCTTTGGTTATAAAACCTCTAGTGGAAACTACGAATGTCAGGAATCAACTGTATGCAAGTGAACCAAGTTATATAGTCAAAGTTAACCATAATTAAAACACACACACCTTTACAAACTTTGTTGACATTACCAATAACCACCTTTGCAGAACAAACTTACCGAAAACTGTGTTGCAGGGGTTCATGGCAACCTGATTCTTGGCGGCATCACCGATGAGCCTCTCAGAGTCAGTGAAGGCAACGTAGCTTGGAGTGGTCCTGTTGCCCTGGTCGTTGGCAATGATTTCAACTTTGCCATGCTGGAACACACCCACGCAGGAGTAGGTGGTCCCGAGATCGATGCCGACTGCTGTTCCCTTAGACATGGTTACTGGACAAGAGATAAATAAAAATGTAATGATGAACAGTCTTTCCAATAGGTGGCAGTCATGATCACTGAAGGTAAAGTATGCATAGAGACTTGTACTGTGGTTTATGAGTCACACCAAAGGTCATAGAGCAACTTTCTTTATGGGGAAATACGCTGACTCATTCAATTCCTAAGAATGGTGACTAATCCTGTTTGAGGAAAAGTAATAGGCATTCTGTTTCAATGAAACTAATTCAAACCTGGGCTGGCATTGGAATGGCCAGGCAGCCATCTTAGGCAAGGCAAGAGGCATATGCATGGTGCCCTGCCGGGCTGAATCCCATATCACCCCCTTGCCTCTCTATTTGCGCGTTCACGTGTGCCTCCGCCATTTGCACAAGCGTCCCAAAGTTGAGGGAGTGAAAATTATCGAGGGTGTAGGGGCTAATTAGACCCTCAGATAGCCACTTCGACCGAGCCAGCAAGGCTGCAGGCTTCAGAGCGAAGCGAAGTGCTATCCCGACACGCACTGCGATATATTTGGAGTTTCATACAAAAGAATGGAGAGGCATGCCTAATTATATGTCACGTGCATTTGTTTATGTCTGATTTCGAGACTTGACACACATAACTGATGAATTACCTCCCAAAATAACGAACTGTTACTGAGGTTTATAGCTTGTAAAACAACAGGGGGGATTTGTTCATTTGAATTTCATGCTTGTTTTATTATTGAAAAGTGTAACATTAACTGCATCATTCAAGTCAGGAGTGTGTCCCGAAGTTGATGGTTTTATTGATCCAATCGTCACTCTCTGGAAGTCACATGTGACAACAGAGGGCCCCCCGAGCGAGTTAGTAGGGGCAAGGTATGTGGTTTGGGATTCGCCGCCTGACTACTGTAAAGGCTACTGCTAGCCCATTCATAGACGCTAACTACCTTTAGTGCCTATTGATGAAGGTATCTTCTTCCTGGAGGACTTTTGTTAAGAGCCCTGATGCTTGCTCTAAACGTTAACACGCATCAATTGCGTAATGTATCTTTCATATCAGCAAGAAATAATTTTAATAAAACTAATGACTTAAATATTTGTTTTTTTAAATTAGTACAACTTTATAGGGTTAGTGTTCCCACACAGCCATATCTCCATGTTACAGCGATTGTTTACGGAAGACAAAAACGGAAGACAGAGACAACCACAGCTAATTAACTATGTAGCAATGCTCGAACACCTGTGTGTATAGGTAACTGGGGAGGAAGTGTAGCGGAAGTGTAGTTTGTCGGCTGGAGGGACACAGCAGTATGGATCTGTACAAACCTGCTACATTTTACATTTACATTTTAGTCATTTAGCAGACGCTCTTATCCAGAGCGACTTACAGGAGCAATTAGGGTTAAGTGCCTTGCTTAAGGGCACATCGACAGATTTTTCACCTAGTCGGCTCGGGGATTAGAACCAGCGACCTTTCGGTTACTGGCACAACGCTCTTACCCACTAAGCTACCTGCTTAGTAGCTAAGCTACCTGTATGTATATTTTTTATTTGAAAGATTATTTATTGTATTTGAAAGATTATTTATTGCTGATATGAAAGATAAGGACATATGTTTCGAGAACCTTCGCAAACAATGATTATTGACTTTTCTAAACGTAAAAACACAGCATCGGAATTGTAGTTCACAAGTGGCCAGCAGCGGGCGCTGAAAACCCTATGGAGAGAAGGGTTTGCGAGAGCTAGGCTACTGCAGTCCCATGGAGAATTCACCATTGTAGCATGAGGTTCATAAATTGTGATGGCAGTTGGCAGAGAATGTTATTTATTTATTTATATAACCTTTATTTATACAGGGAGTCACAATGAGATTAAAAATCTATTTTACAAGAGAGCCCTGTATACATTACAATAAAAACAGAATAATAAAACACACATGTGTATAAAACAATATAATTAATCACACAATAAACCAAAATAAACATATTTAATAAAAGCAATCACATTCAACTACATAGACGTCCTCAATCAATAATTTAAACTGCCTGAGTGGCATGAGCACATCTAACTGCAGTGAACTCTGCAGATTATTCCACAATTTTTGGACAAAAAAACTAAAAGCAGATTTTTCACAATTCTGTGGAGACTGAAGGGATCTCTAGTGTTATCCATTCCTGAGAACGGGTTTGGTAATTTATGAGTCTTAACTTAATTAATGAAGTTACATATGGAGGGAGTTCCTGTAAGATTGCTTTGTAAATGAATAAAAAAGAGAATCCATCCCATATTTGTATACAGACTACAAGGGCATACAAGTCCATAGGGTAATGACTATGCGTAATGGCGCACGTATAGGTCTTTGCACAATAGTAAATGGCACTTTAAAAAAAATTTATGAACCTAAACAAATTAATTTAATACAAAAACTTCACAACATCAACAGTATTTAGCCTAATATTATTATCTGTTATTTAGAATGTCTTGCCTTGGCAATGGCATCATTGCACTTTTACCCAGGTTGGCATGGTTCGCCAATGCGATTTATCTGGGATGATCTCTGACCATCTGGGGAGGGGGGAGGCACGTGCTTTACACCCTCCCCCAACCGGGCTTCTGAAGGACAACGCTGAGTGCTGCAGTACAACTGGCTCCGCAGGCAAGCGCATTAAAATTGCGGCCATTTCACTGGTAGGATATGACATTTTCTAGAGACTAATCTGGCATCTCTTAAAGGCTGTCGTCTCGGAAAATTGTTGAATAGACCTACAGCGAATACAACAATATTAACATAATACATTATCTTAATCGACAAATAGGTCTATTACATTTGGATTCTAATTAGGACACACTGATACCGAAGCGAATATAGAAACAATTGTAGGAAAAATACATCACGTTACATATGCCTATAACTGACAATAACGCAGTCTGTAACAGATGAAAATATGTTTCGTTATATTACCTGGATGTGATGTAGGCAATTCTGTATGCAAGCTGTTCGCGGTCTCCGCCACCAGATGAATGAGAAAAGAAGATGATGGCGAAAGCGCTCATGTATCTTCCGGATAACTTGGGAACCAATCAGCTTCCAAGAACTCCTCTCACCTGCCGCTGAAATTCTGCACTTCTAGTACGTTCTAGCAGACAAAATGATCTACAATCAGAATTTAACCACGATTGTTCAATGCGCAATGCGTTATATGGCCACATGTAAGGAATCAACCAGTACTAGGATCAGTTGTAATTTTCTTTATCCCCCTCAACGCATTAACCTCTGATTGGTTGAAATCTAGCTCGTGTATTGCATCAATTCCTTGAAAAAAGACGGAGGTCGGTTGAAGATTATAAAGCCCCGGAAATAGCAAGTGAATATTCTAGAGCTGTCCTAATCAATTTACTGGCACTGTGTCAGAATAGTCTGACCCACTGAACTGTGGTCCTATATTTACATAGCAAATTTGAGTCCCTGAAATTGAGTTTGAACTGTGCTTTTATTGAACAAAATAATCTGCCAATATGCAACCACATTTACAACATCTAGACTAAATTTTTGAGGAAGGAAATATAAGAATATGCAGGTTTCCATTGACCCAGGTTTATTCCACAAAAGCAATGTAGCAAAAGTGTAATGGAAACGGCAGATACAGTGCCTTCGGAAAGTATTCAGACCCCTTGACTTTTTCCAAATGTTATTACTTTACAGCCTTATTCTAAAATTGATGAAATTGTTTTTCCCCCTCATCAATCTACACACAATACCCCATAATTACAATGCAAAAATAGGTTTTTATAAATTTGTTCAAATGTATTACAGATAAAAAATGGAAATGTCACATTTACATAAGTATTCAGACCCTTTACTCAGTACTTTGTTGAAGCACCTTTGGCAGCGATTACAGCATTGAGTCTTCTTGGGTATGACGCTACAAGCTTGCACACCTGTATTTGGGGAGTTTCTCCCATTCTTCTCTGCAGATCCTCTCAAGATCTGTCAGGTTGGATGGGGAGCGTTGCTGCACAGTTATTTTCAGGCCTCTCCAGAGATGTTAGATCGGGTTCAAGTCCAGGCTCTGGCAAGGCCACTCAAGGACATTCAGAGACTTGTCCCGAAGCTAGAGTTGTTGTCCTGTTGGAAGGTGAAACTTCGCCCCAGTCTGAGGTCCTGAGCACTCTGGAGCAGGTTTTCATCAAGGATCTCTCTGTACTTTGCTCCGTTCATCTTTGCCTTGATGCTGCCACCACCATGCTTAACTGTAGGGATGGTGCCAGGTTTTCTCCAGACGTGACGCTTGGCATTCAGGCCAAAGAGTTCAATATTGGTTTCATCAGACCAGAGAATCTTATTTCTCATGTTCTGAGAGTCTTTAGGTGTCTTTTGGCAAACTCCAAGCGGGCTGTCATGTGCCTTTTACTGAGGAGTGGCTTCCGTCTGGCCACTCTACCATAAAGGCCTGATTGGTGGAGTGCTGCAGAGATGGTTGTCCTTCTGGAAGGTTCTCCCATCTCCACAGAGGAACTCTGGAGCTCTGTCAGAGTGACCATTGGGTTCTTGTTCACCTCCCTGACCAAGGCCCTTCTCCCCCTGATTGCTCAATTCTGGCTGGGCAGCCAGCTCTAGGAAGAGTCTTGGTGGTTCCACATTTCTTCCATTTAAGAATGATTGAGGCCACTGTGTTCTTGGGGACCTTCAACGCTGCAGAAATGTTTTGGTACCCTTCCCCAGATCTGTGCCTCGACACAATCCTGTCTCAGAGCTCTACGGACAATTCCTTCGACCTCATGGCTTGGTTTCTGCTCTGACATGCACTGTCAACTGTGGGGCCTAATATAGACAGGTGTGTGCCTTTCCAAATCATGTCCAATCAATTGAATTTACCACAGGTGGACTCTAATCAAGTTGTAGAAACAAAGGATGAACAATGGAAACAGGATGCACCTGTGCTAAATGTCGAGTCTCATAGCAAAGGGTCTGAATACTTATGTAGATAAGGTATTTCTTTAATTATTTGTTATACATTTGCTA